TAACCTAGTATTTGCAGTATCTGCAGCTTCTCCCATGATAATTTGTTGATTCATTGTTATCAGCGTTATAAAATAAACTGCACCGAACACAATAATTGATAAATCGAAATCACTGTGAGTTTAATAACGCAATGTGTATTTGAAAAGTTTATCAGATCTACAGATGCACCCGCACTAAAAGAAAAATGTTGAATTCAAAGTGCATATGTGCGTCCCAAGCCTCAGGCGCGAAGAGGCCGGACTGGGAGAAAAATCTGTTCACCCTCCCATAAAAAGTTATCACTTCAAAATCTATTGTTGTTAAAACTGATATTGTTCCAGCCCTATACCCTTTGGGAAGTTTGGCTAACCATTCATGCATCCCCAATACCCTCCATGTGTTCAATGATGAGCAGCAAATGGTAGTGAAGGCCACTACATTTATTCAAAAAAATGTCGAGCTTTTCCACTCATACACCCGCATTATCTGGGGAACCACCACCCGTCTGTACCACTTGCACAAAACAAAGCATTTCATTTGCAAATGCGCCCGATGTGAAGATCCCACAGAGTTTGGTACGTATATGGGGTCGGTTCTCTGCAAACTATGCAGAGGGATTGTGAGTTCAACAAATCCAGAAAAAGCATTTGCTAGATGGCAGTGCCAGGACTGCAAAAATTTGGTCTCTGGACGCGATGTAGGGCAATTAACCGCGTTATTGGGTAAAGATTTCGTTATAATCAACGGCAGGTTTTCTATGCTGGATCTTCTAGGATCAATTCTTCGCAATGTAGAAAGCAACGATTATCCATTTATGTACCGGCTTCTTAATGGGAAGCTCAAGTCTGTGGTTCCAGAAAACAACCAAGTAGCTGTTGAACTCAAGTATAAAATCGTTTGGATATTAGGGTATAAAGTCGGTTATATGTGGGGCGGTAAGTTATTTTAAAGGTTAAACTCAATTTTCCGCATGTAAAAATTGACCATTTTTCTTTCCAGAACTAACACTCGAGCAGCTAAAAATCAAAGAACAGATCTGCAAAGACATTCTAGAGCTTTTGGAGAAGCTACGATGTGGCCAAAGTAAAATGAGAGGATTGCTGCTGTATGAGCTCTGTTGCTGTAAACGAGAAACTATAAATAGGACCAACAACTGCAATCAGAACTCGGTAAGTGTTCAAGATTTATCGATTTGTTTAGGCGATACGTTTAGCTAACGATGCAAACTTGTGCGAAAACATTGAAATAAATTGCGTGCATTCCGTGAGCGGATTGCGAGGCAAATGGGTAATTTTGAGGCGAAGAAACCGATGTTTTCGTAGAAGTTTTGCAAACTTAAGACAGTTTCTCCTAACGAATTTCCGTTTTGATACTGTGGAATTAAAACGTTTCAACAGGCCGGTTTTTTAAATTTAGATTCCTGTAGAAATTCGCGATTTGCTATCTGAAGCGGCCTCGATCCTGCAATACGACACATCAGCTCCAGAAGAAATTAAACAGATCTGCCAGAACAACAAACCTCATCCAAACAAAATACTGGCTGTTTAGCTTGTGAATTGTTTATATAAACAAACTCGTAATATATTCTATAATGTATATTATACGGATTTTATAATATCACAGCCATTAGTACATGAGTATACATATAAAATTTGATAAAATTGTGCCTTAGTGTACGTGATTATTCTAAAAGTTTGCAACCTATTGTTACCACCTACATATATACAAAACAAGTTGGCAGAGAAGTACGGAAGATTTATTGCGAATTAAAATTAGTCTAATCGACAAGAATAAACATGCTTTGGAGTATTTTGGCAACATCAGTTATAGATATTGGAAAAAGTGGTGCAAGAAGGATTAACGAAGAGCGACCTAAGAGAAAGAAATATTGAAAAACGTACTTTAACTACGACAAACTACAATATAATAATACATAAGAAATACTAACTAAAAAGATACAATAACCCGAAGTGGATGTTGTGCCCATTTACTGCCACCCTCTTCTATGTCTATGATTAGCTTCCTCATTGTTTCTTGGATATGTATAAAGACGCCCATTGAAGTTATTACATTGGTAAAAATCAAGCTATTTTAGTGATTTGAAGTTCATAATCCTGTAGGTAAATTAGTAACATTAAAGAATTTTAAATGTGTTATTCAAAACGTTGATTTTTTTAAAACACTTGAGAAATCTTACTACACACAAGTTTTCTAAATGTATAAAAATATATGAAGCTTTACCTCCCCGAAACATATAAGCAGAACTCACTCAACATATCCCAGTGGTCTATTCCCATTTACAAACTATTATAACATTGGAAGTGATGTTGAGGAATCAGTGGTTGCTATATATTTTCCTTGGATTCATTCTTCGGACTGTTTGCGGTTTTGCTCAGTTGCCATCTCTGAAGAGGTGGAATGAAAAACAAAATTATACCACTCAACGCGATCGTGCAGCCGGCCAAACAAAAGCCTGGATCGTAGGACTTGGTAAGATCGAACAGGCTTCCTGAAAATTAAATAGTTCATTGTCAATATAGGGAAAATTGCTGATCTTCCTAATGCATAAAGGTTGCTTGCCATTGATATTGCATAGTATAATACGGCTTTAATAAGCAAACACTGAGTCGGGATAAATGAAGAAAAATCTCAGTAACTCAACGGAAACTTTTTCTTTCCTGAAAATAGACGAATATTTTATACAAAAAAAGTGTTAAATGTGTCCGGAAACTAGGCCTGGAAAACCCAGGGAATTTTTAGGAGTTGGCGCCAGGAGCAACTCAGTTCCTTTGCTGGGAAAATGTTGAGGACTTTTTTTACTTGTTTGAGATTTATTTTAATGGCCAACAAAAAAACATGGATTTTGATTTAGGAACAGCACTTCTAGCTGCCTTGAACCATATAACTTTACGTGCATAATCATGGGGAACGGTTAGAAAGAGTTTGTTTGGAGCACTTATGGAGGTATTCTTGCATCCTGGCACAAAACACCACTTATTTTGTGATCCATACCTGTCATTATTTTCCATTATGCAAGATAATAATAATCAATAAAATAATGATAATCACAATAACTTAAATAATAAAACAAAGCTGGGAAAACAACAAAATAAACACGGGACACTCTGTTGATATGACCTGCTACGTCACAATCGGGATAGGCAACCGACGATGCGGATTCGTCGTTTTTGGCGGAAAACATCTGATTTGAATTTAAATTCGCTTTAAAATTATTATGGAGACTTTTTCGCAACAAAAATTATATCAGTGTAATGTTTGCCCATAACTACTTTCTATACAAGGTTATTCACGCTATACGTTTGATTTTTAAAAAGTATTATTTTATAAATTGTCCGACGCCTACCGAACGCCAATTTTAAAAATATTTTTGTAATGTACAGGGTGTCCCAAAGGCTCTACAGGTATCAAAGTTGCGTTTTTTTAAATGGAATGTCCTGCATATTATTGCATTTTGGATTCGCTGAACAAAATAAGTGTCTGTTTTAATAAGGTTTGTAATACCTAAATCTTAAGGTTTTTTAAATAATACGAATTTAATCAAAATCTAATCTAATTTTCACGTGTCAAATACTTTAGAAGTATTTAAGTTATGCAAGCGTAATTTATAGTGAAGTGTAACAAGATATAATATTTTATATTCCAATGATAATAAACTTACCATGTTATACAGGGTGTCCACATATTTAAATTAATCAAATAAGAACTTTAAGTGGCTCTAACTTGATTAATTTAAGTACAACCCCATATTTTTTAACTTACCAGGAAATGCAATTTTTAATTACCTATCGAATGGTATTAGGATGTTATTAGCTAAGTTTTTGCCTTTTTACAAAATACGTCAAATAGTCGTTCTGTGCACCATTTGGTGTTGTTTAATTTAAGCTTCCAATGGATCTAAGTTGCCTATGCCATTTACACATGTCAAATTATTTATTTTATTTGTCAGTTTAGACTGCAAAGTCTCTTTTTGATAGCTAGAGTG